TATTCCCTAAATAACGGATCCTGCTTTGGCTCCACAAAAAGCACAGGGATGCCGAGCAGTCCCGGGGCTGCCTGGCTTAGCGCAGCAGTAACCATGCCCACCCCCTGGGCACCCCAACGCGGCCCTGTTCACACCTGCACAACAACAAGTACTTGCTCGGCCTTTCCCCAGCCCTCTACTATCCCAAAAAGCCGAACGAACCTTCTCTGTAGGACCCGGCTGTGCCAGTTGCCCCGTTTCCTCCTTAGACAGATGTAACATCAAAACACAGCTAATTGACAAAAGATGCCTTGCTGCCAGCTTGTGTCTTCATTGCCCACCACCTCAAAACAGTCTTAAATCTCCAATCCGCACCGGTATCATGTGCTGAGCAGCACCTGGGGAACCAGCACCTTTGAGTTGCCCCTGAAAATGAGCTCCCGAATTCCAACAGGCCAAAGCTCCCCCTCCTCCTTACCAACACGTGCAGTTACTGCACTGCCAAGCCGACCTCAAAGCCTCGAAAACTCCTCTTAACCACAGACCTGCCTCACGTCAGCCTGCTTGGCCAGCTTTCCTGTCCCCTGCATCCAGGACGGGGACCTGCTCGAGGAAACTCTCAGTTGCCAGTTCAGGAGCCATTCAAAAGCCACCCCCAGTTGCTCCCAGCTTGTACTGACTGAAGTGAAGCTCCTGGCTGTGGGGGAGCAGATGCAGACATGATTTTGCTGGCGTGAAACACAACCAGAACAGGCACGAAGCTCCAGCATCAGGGTGAGATCTTGGTCTTCACACCAGTGCTGAGATGCAGAAACAGCCAACTGAGGTCGTTCTCTGTGGAAATTCAGGTATTTGTTTTCCCTCATTAAGGCCTCATTAGCAATCTAGACAAAACACAGCCTCCGGGAAGATGTTGTTTACTCAGGTTCTAAATAAAAGTTTTGGAAAACTGACCTTACGAAAAAAATAGCAGCTGAGAAAATCAAAATAAAAGGGGAACACGGCAGCATTCGCATTCCTATATTAACCTAAAAATGAATTGGGTCCTATTTTATTGTGAAATTTCCTCCTCTGATCTAGGATCTGTTACCCAGTCACATTCCTCCAAACCCAGAGACCTGCCCGCCTTCTTCTGGCAAATCCATGGCCCCTCCAGGGCTTCCCAAACCTGATCCCTTGCAAGGGTCACAGCTGCTGCCGTTGCACTGTGGAGAGCTAGCACAAACCAAGCGTTAAAAGAGTTCAGAGAGCTTTTGGCTACGAGAAAAATGACACATGGACTGGAAAGACCCAGGACAGGAACTGTATGGGCAGATACTGTCGCCACGAGGACTCGTGCTGCTGACGGCACGCTTGGCAGCTTCAGCCCACGGAGATCCAGGGATGACCAAGCACACCCAGACGCTGAGGCCAGCCCCCTCTTGCACGGTGCCCGCGGGCAGCCCCCTGCGCTGTGCGCTCCCGAGGCCCGCGGAGAGCAAGGCACCTCCCGCAGAACCGAGCGTCCTCAGCCTCCTTTCTCTCAGTTCACAGTTTTAAGCTTCTTGTTTGACAGCTCCTGATGGTTCTTGGCTTGTTTCCGTTTCTGGCTTGGGGCTTCCTTGTTCTCCCCACCAGCCAGTTTGTCCAAGACTAAAGCAGTCTCCTTCAGGAGCCGCATCTCCCGTTTTTCCTTCCGCTCCTCCATTTCTACTATGTCATCCGCAAACAAAGCCTTTAGAGGTGGGATCAGCTTTGGGATGGTCAGAAAGTCACCAAAACGTACCTGAAACAGACACAGGAACACCTGCATTAGAATTGCTTTTTGTTTTCCTTCCTCTCCCCGTCTTTTGCCCATTCAGATGGCAGGGCACCGCGGCTTCCTCTGTGCAGCACCCAGCACAGAGGAGCCCCGACCTCGCTGACCATTTTCAGCTGCATTGACACAGCAGGTCATCTTTTTCAACCCCACAGATCCCATATGCCAAGTTATTTACATTTTCTGTACATTTACAAAAAACCATGTGGACACTGTGCAAGTTCTGACTGATGAATCAGCTATTCTCACTGCTATGACTGCGTTCCATCCCTTGGCAGCAGCTTTTGGCTCCTGGATGTCTTGTGCAGCACACCAATTGAGAAGGGAGTGGGAATGGAAGCAAAATTAGGTCCTCAGTTGGGAGTAGCGTGCACAGAATACCAGTACCAAGCACGTACACAGTTTGTTAAGAGTGGACTTCTGTTCTCAAGAGCCATCAGCATCTGTCTCACTCTGTGCCACACATTCTCCCCACGTTAGTGATGTCTGCTGCCAGGAGTAAAAGGAGATGTTTCTGGGAAGATTACTCTTCAGAAGGAGATAGTGTATCAATACATCACGAGTGGACAATTTAATTCATGAGCAGCCATCCCAGAGTAACACTGAAACTGTTCCCACAGCCTAGATGACAGCTCCCGACTTACCCTCATATGATCAAATGCAATTCCAACCTTCTCGCTGAAGTCTTCACTGAAGAGCGGGATCTTGGCATACCTCTGACTGAAGTGATTGAGCATGATGAACTCTGCATTCATCTTCATCCCAGTCTGAATGGCCTGGGAGGTTGTGCTGCAAAAGGAGCAGAAACACGGCACCACGTACCTTGTTCACACACAGGCTGGCCAGCGCTGCCACGCCGACGGGGTAGGGCAGGCTGCTGTGCCCCTAAGGTCCCACCACACCAACAGCCAACACTAGGTACTGTCTCACACTTGCTGGTCACAAGGTGTCCCTGCTCTTTGCAGGCACACCCAGACACCTCTTCCTCTGGCAACCTGCACTAGTGGCAAGTCTCTCAACTTCCCAACGACTCCGAGTGCAGGAAAGCAGCTGGGAGTACTTGGAGCTCTATAGTTAAGAGCTCCACAAACTGGGGGCAGGGGCTTATTCCAATACTTGTCCCAGGGACGCCAGGAAGTCCAGCTCTCTTGCACTGGAACTCACATGTAATTCCAAGAAGCTGCTCTCAGGTCTCCTCACTTTTGCTGGGCGCAGCACTCGGTATCACTGGCTGCTGCGCTCAGTTTGAATTGTGCAACTGGCACAGGGGCTGTAATGACTCTTCTACCTCCTGAGCTTAGTCCTGAAACGTAATCAAGCAGAGCAGCTTTCCTTTGGACTAGTCTATTCTTAGAGTTACTACTGTCCACTTAAAAAGCTTTCCACATCTCTCTTCAGGGATGTTCAGAGGAGCTGTGAGGTACAGAGCTGGTGCCATGAGCAACACACCATTTTTAGCGCTGAAGAGTTCTACACACACCAGAAACATCTACGTGACTTGGGTCCTTCACCACCAGCTCCAGGGACAAAGCCCAGCTCCACATCTTCACCTCCCTTATAGCAACAGGCAGAACACACCCCACCTGTGTGTCTTCTCTATTGCTTCTTTCTCCATGCCATCTTCCAGCGTTGCTTCATGGATCAGCAGGGTGGCATTCTTCCCTGTGCAAATAATCATATAGCCGACCTTTAGTTGGATACAGACTGGTCCAACTGCTTACACGAACTCTCACTTCCCCCCCTCAGACCCTCATGGTGTCACAGGCATAGCACCCAGGGTCTGGGCTGCCTGCTTTGGATACTAACAGTTTGAGACCTTTCTCCAAGGGATTCTTCAAGCAGAGGGTTTTTGTCACCTACCCATTTGTACTAAGGCCATGCAGGGCATTGTGTCACCAGAATAGACTACTTTCCAGCCAGATTTGTGGATCACTGAACATGCAAAAGCATTTTTACAGTGCTGGACTTCACAAGTCTGAAACTGAAGAAGGATAGAAGTGTTAGACCTCAGGTCCCCTCTTGCCCCTCACAGCAACTGACCGTGCCAGCTCGTGAGCTTACCTCAGCCAAGTCGTAGCTCTCCAAGAGAGAACTGACAAACCGTTTGGCTTTAGGTCTGATGTTCTCACAGCCTTTCACAAGGGACTGGGAAGTAATCATTCTGTGAGGAAGGGGAGAAGAGAGAACTAAGGACAGGTACAAAGTAAAACCTGATCTCATCTTTAAGCAGCCTATTTCTCCTATTTCCCCTTTCAGTTCAGTGCCTTACAAGCAAGACATTTTTGTGCATCCATCTGTTTTTCTCCTTGCTTTCAGTATCCAGTGCTCCAGTAACTCATCCAACCACTTCTTCCCCACTGTCAAATACTCTCTCTTCCAGGAATCATTTTCCACTTGCCCAACTCCCCTTTCCTAACGAAAAGGAAAGCCTGCATGTAAGCCTCTATTAAGAGGCACAACTGAGTAACAAACCCTATCCTCCCCTTTGCAAACTGCACAACCTAAGTCTACAAACAGGGGAAGGAGTTAGTGTCACCTTCAACAAAGGGATGAGGGGAATGGATGACAGTAGTTTGCCTTGAATAAGGATCCAGGAAGGGCGTTTCTCCACATACCACACAGAACACTCACTTGATGTCTCCAAGAATCTCTTCACAGTGGTTGTGGTACTCATGTAGCCAAGGCATGATCTGTTCAGGTGCTACCAGAAACAGAGGGCTGAAAGCCTGACCAAGGGCTGCCTGGAAAACCAAAGGCAGGGGGAAAAAAAAGATAAATCAGTACTAGGTATATGCCAATTCAGGGAAAAGAAATACCTAGGGAAATAACAGTGCTTTTCCACTACTCAGAAGTTCCCCTCCCCTCACTCCAAGGCAAGTTCAGGAGCAGCGAAACAACAGTACTACTTACAAAAGCTCTCCGCCTCTCCATCAGGATGTTCAACAGCCCCTGCAAAGGGAAAAAACAAGACAGCCAGCTGTAGTCAGAGACATCTGGGGCATAAGCGGCAACCGTACTACCACAGCTCAGCAAGCTGCAGTTTTTGGAACACCTATAGTCAGAAACACATTACTGCTTTTCTAATAACGGCATCTTGCTGAGCTGCTGCAACACTGTCACTGCTTATGCCCCCAAGCTGGTGGCCAGCAGCCCACAACACAAGCCCCTCAGCCCTTCTCAGTGCAAGAAGTCTCTACCCAACATCTCAGACCCAGTGTGGTTTCCAGACACAAGACAGCAGACCAGCAAAGAGCCTGTCCTGATCAGGCCCAATCTAGAATAGACCAACTGGTCTTGCTGTGACTATTTATTGCACTGAAGGAAGCTGGGTTGGACATTGCTAAAACTCTGGATGATCCCAGCAAGTCTACAGAGACCCCTAACAGGAAGGGAGAGGGGATTAAAAACACAGACAGTGCCTGAGGAATGCGGAGGGGAAGTGCAGCCCACATTCATCATGTGCAGCTGCATCTGAATCCCAAACACCAGAGCACGCCTGCACAGAACCCCTCCTCCTCCCAACACACTCAACCTACCGAATGATGATCAGTGTGCATGTGAGACACAAACACAGCTGCTATGTTACACAGCACTTGGTCAACTTGCTCTCCATAGTGGCGACAGAGCTGTCCAAACGTTCCTTCCCCACAGTCCAAGAGCAGGGATCGGGTAGAGCTGGCAAGACAAGAGACAAAGACATTTAGCAGCCACTGTATGAGCTCTGACCAGGGCCCATTCAGGGAGGGGGATCTTTTGGGTTGGATGGCAGAGAGCTCCCAGTGCTCTACACATCTAAATGCTACTCCAGTCCTGCTAGCCAAGGCTTGTGTCTGCACAGCTCATTCTGATCCTGTGATGATGCTGAACACACCCCTGGGCAGATGGTAAAATGAATGAAGACATTGAATGTCTGGCTTTACAGGTGGCTCTCAAGTCTTCCCCACCCACAGAGAGACAGGTGCCTGAAACTGAAGTCCTACAGACTCCACAGGAGGGGCACTCTCCCCGTGGCATCGACACACGGGTCAAAACAGCCCTTGGGCAGCATACTCTGAGACACTGAGCCTCTCCAGGCAGAGTGCATGGCATTGGGAGTTACCTGGTGTTTACCAGTGTGGAACTGACATTTCGGATTTTCATTGGAATTGCAGATCCTGTTCCCAAGAACACAATTTCAGGATAATTACCCACATTTCCTGGAGAAAGCAAACAACAAAGACTTGCAAGTAAACGTTATCCACATACTGCCCAGTCAGAGACCATTCAGTTTAACGGCCTGGTAACTCTAGAGTCTACACGTCCACCACAGTCATTTTTGCTTCCCTCAGCCTCTGGCTTTCCTGCAGCAGCAAGGTTTACAAGGGAATACAGAACAAGCACCACCAAGAAAACAGCACAATGCTTAACTGCATGTCCAAAGGCAGGCAAACAAGGACTCTGCTCATTGCCCGTGACAGCATGGCAGTTCAGGAGGGACCTGACTCCTGTTGAACAGTGCCCTGACTCTCCCCAGAAGCAGGTCCCAAACAGTGAGCAAGAGGGGCTGTGTAGTACCAGGACAGCCTCACTGCCAAGAGGACAACTGAAAGCCAGAGGAGAGTGCCCCACAGGGAGCTGGTTCTAGAGCAAGACTTCTCCCAGACATAGCAACTCGTGCTGTGGCTGCTATGACAGCATTCAACACCAGCAGAGCTCTGGCCAATTCAGAGAAACAACACACAGGTGCTTTGTCTCCAATTGCCCCCAACAGCACCCAATCCTCAAACCCAGAAGCTTTAGAAAACCAGAAGCACAAGACTGCGTTAACCCACCTGAAACAAGCTGACTCAGTTTGCAGTAAGCCAGCTGGAATTCAGAACACCTCTGAGGCAGCAGGAAAACTGCATGTTCACAACTCGTCTGGGCTCTGAATCAGTGGCTCACCGAGACCTCCTACTTCCCATCACACTGATCCAAGACAAGTTGTTGATCCTTACCCGGTAGAGCAGACAGGCTCTCTTTGCACTCCTTCACACGAGTCTGGAAGTCAGGGAGATCCAAGGCTTCACTTACAAATGCATCATGATCACAGACAGTCACAGCATCTCTAAAAGAACAGGTCACATATCAGGACGGGGCAGGGTAGGAACAGAAAAGACAGCACTTTCCAGAGGAAAGTCCCAAATTACTGTGCCAAAACACCCTTACAACAAAGGGTGAAATGTTCTCTCCAAAGATCCATTTTGAGGGCTGGGGGAAGGTACATCCTCGAGCGTGGTATGCGCCAAAAAGGCCTGACTGGGCTGAGCCACACCAAAAAATAATCATTCCACCAAACTGGAGAAGCTCCTTGAAAAGCTCTGTGCTCCCCTGCGCTGCCCAGACCCAGAGAGTTGCCGGACACCAGAGGGCACTGCAAGGCAGCACGGAGACTCCTGCAAGAGGAACAGCCACCCAAAGGGGCTCCAGGCACCACTCAAAAGTCTAACACTCCCGTGTCCTGGTCCTTCATCAGAGCATGTGCCTTCAGACACCTTAAAAAGAGAAACGTGAACTCTTCTTGGCATCTGGGTCCTCCTATTCTGCCCAACTGAGCCAGAAATCTGAGCCATGGCAGCTGGTATCCCCTTGCATCATGTCCCCTGCCCTTAAGATCCTCATTGAGCAACTTCACCTACTTGCCCACAAAGCAAGCACCAGTGGAGAAGTCTGCAGCTGTTTAACCAGCTGGGGCTTTCAGCTCTGACACCATCTGAAGATCCAGAAAGCCTGGTAAGACTTCTACGGCACTCCTGGAAAAGTCTCTCCCTGCCACCATCTGTATCCCCTTGCATCATGTCCCCTGCCCTTAAGATCCTCATTGAGCAACTTCACCTACTTGCCCACAAAGCAAGCACCAGTGGAGAAGTCTGCAGCTGTTTAACCAGCTGGGGCTTTCAGCTCTGACACCATCTGAAGATCCAGAAAGCCTGGTAAGACTTCTACGGCACTCCTGGAAAAGTCTCTCCCTGCCACCATCTGCTCTGCCGCAGCCACGGCTGGGTGCACAACGTACGAGGCCAAAGCAAAAGACAGAAGAGCACATGAGGCTATGAGACCGAAGGACAGAAACAGTAGTTGTGACCACTGGCCAAGTGGTGTTTTCAGTGGTTCACTCGTCCGTCTCCTACACCTTGTCTGAGACTTTCAGGGACGGGGACACACTCCTGAAGACACAGCTGACAGCTTGGCAGCTACCCCAGCATGCCCACCAGTGAGCATCTGCACAAGGTGCCTACACACCGTGCTCCCTCAGCACGGACTCACACCGAACAGCTGCTTCAAGCCAACACCCAAAAACTGCTAAGTCAAAGGTTCCCACCGACCTCTGCCACTCCTGCTGGGGTCTGAAGTGGTACTTCAAGAGGCACTCTCCTCGTACAATGGGCACGCTACACACAGCCTCCTCTTCCTACAGGGAGAAGAGTGACAGTAAATGCATTCTTTGCTCAGGGGCATGAGGCACACAGGCAAGCTGGGCCTGGCCTACCTTGCTCTGGTAGGTGGTGAGCAAAGGGAAGATCTCTGGATGGATGAGGTTCAGCTGAGTTTGGATCTTGTAGCTACGTGGGTTGTGCACCGCAGAGGAGTTCTCATTGAGCACCAAGTGCTGAGTTCCAGGTCCAAATCTGTAAGGGGACAATAAAACGCACAACAGCTTCAGCTCCACATTAGAGCTGGGCATCTGTGCACACCTGAGTCATCAGCTAAAATCTCATCTGAGTTAGCAGAGCTCTGCTGGCACCCAACAGCCATTTCCACTCCGGGAAACGTATTTGCACCATAAGAACATGCTGCTGCCCAACAATGGCAAGAAACCAAGCAAGCAGAAGACACCATACCTTTCCAGCCATTGCTGGTAGCGGCTGTCTCGCAGCACTGACTCTGGAGTCATGTGAATAACCAGGGCCACCTGGTTCTCAGCAAGTCCTTCCTGGTACCTGGGGCACATTCAAATACAGAAAGAATACCTGAGCTTTCGTCCTCCATCACCTTGGCATCCCCTCCCCACTCCTGTCTAGTGCTACCAGAGAGGTCCTCTCCTGAAGCAGACAGAACACAGACCTGAAGAGCACAGACCAGGAGCTCGAGGCTCCACACTGCGGTGGGCGCAAGGCTCCGTGACACTCAGGCCCACCATTTGTTGACACCTCCAATCTTCCACTCAGGGAAGTTCCTCTCCTCCAAGAGCAGTAACACCTGCAGAGCCTTTCAGAAGCCTAACATGCTTCTGCACAAGCCTACGGAGACATGACACGCAGTCCAGGCTTCCCAAGGCTGGGAAGCAGCAGTCTCTACATTGCTGCCCAGCAAGACACCAGCTTGTGTTTCCTTCTCTGGAGGCCCCTGAGGGAAGATGGGCTTGTCACAGCTCGAGAACTCCACGGGTCCTGCACAGGCCTGCCTTCCAGAGAAGGCTCAAAATGCACCACCAGTGTTTTCTCGCATCTCTAGCTCCTTAACAGTACCAAAGAGCTCAGACATCAGCCGCAGCAACAGGCACATCTAGCATAGAACAGTAACTTCTTTTGCCAAGCTCTGCACCGCTGTGTGCCCACAAGCACTCCAGCTCACCCAGACCCATTACCTTCGGAAGGTCTCGTTTTCACAGACGGCATCCACAAAGCCCTCGTGAGGACACTCCAGCACAATGAACACTGGGCCAGGATCAGTGGGAGTGCACAGTTCTTCGGGAAAGAGCTGCAGGCAGATACACAAAGACCACACCACAGTCAAGCCATACACACAGCCCTTCTTGCACCATCATGTCCGACTCTTCTGGCAGCTGTTCCGTCCGCCAGCCCCCAGCAGGCACCTCCAAGCAGGTTTTCCCAACGCTCAGCGAACCAGTCAGTGCAGTTCTTGTTCCCTGTCTGCTCTCATTACACAAGTTCACGTTCTGCTCCGCAGCAACAAATCCCAACCCTAGACTTAGAGCAAACCACAAGCTAATGTAAGGAAGGGAATTTTAGCAGCTCCTAGGTTTCCACAACAGATTCGGATGGTAGCAAAAGCATGCTTAAAAAAAGACTTTGTGATTCTTATGGCACACAAATACATCAATCCTATCCCCCAGGGTAGGAGCTTCACTTCCAGATCACCTGGGACAAGTCCAGAGCTGGCTCTGCCTCTCACTTCAGAATAGAGTTTGAGAGATTAAGACTCTGCACACAGGGACCACTGAAGTTCTTTTGGTCTAAAGGGCACAAGCAGAGTAAGGAGGGAGCGACAGCCACACAGACATTCAAACCCCAGATTTAAAACATGCAGGGATGAACTCCCCTAGTTCACTCCTAGACCTGAGTCAGCCTTGGAAAGGGGAGATGAAGCTCTGACAAATTACAGACATACAGCCATACTCACAAATCAGCTGATTTCAGAGTGTACTGCCCTAATCACAGCCCTGCAACAGCCTCATACACACCTCCCCACAGGAGACACTTTCAGCAATAACTTGGGGCTGGAACCAGTCACCAACCAAAGCTCAAAAAGAACAAAATCCATGCCAACCTCTCAGCAGGGATGAGGGATCAGGCAGACAACCATCATCCACCCTTGCCTCAAGGAAGTGTGTTAAAAAAACCCGAAACGATATCCCAATGCCTACTGGTGGGCAAAATATTCTGCACAAAAAGACTGTCACCCCAAGAGCCCCGTGAAGGAGGGAGGATGACCAAGCCACAGCAGAAAGCACAGCTACATCTTACCTCTCTGCCTTCAAAGGTGACGCTCTCCCCGTTTTTGAGAGCTGTAATTATGGGAAGAATGGCTGGAGTTCCCCTGAAAACAAGACCATGTTTAGCTTGCCAACATCAACATGCCCGGCATTGCCCCATCCCCCAGGCTGGAATCTTGTACTCACACTGGCAGGCCCATCTCCTGTGCTTTAGCTGCTAAGAATTTTCCCTTCTTTGGGTGAATCTGAAAAGAGTTAAATAAAACACAATTATCAGCCAAAAAAAAAGGGCCAGGAAACACGATCCACGTACTTCCAGTTTAAGTGTTTCCCCTTAGGCCAAGGGATTTTTTTTTTCTTTTCAGTTCTACAGCCACTAGTCTAATTTACCCCCAAAAAGCTTTTACCAGACTTTCTGGTTTCCAAGATGACACTGCTGTTTCTTGCTCCCTTCTTTAGCCAGGTAAGCAGGACAAACTTCCCTACTGCATTAAGCAAGAATGAAACCTGCACACTCTTAATTGGCTGCTCTACCAAGAACACTTCCAAAAAAAAGGTCTCCAGTTTTTACATGTTCCTACTCATATTACAATTACTCTGACATTTGGAGAATAGAATCACAAAATAATTTCAAAGTGCTGCTTGAAAAATCACAGAATGTCAGGGATTGGAAGGGACCTCAAGGGATCATCTAGTCCAATCCCCCTGCCGGAGCAGGACCACCTAGATCAGATCACACAAGAACACGTCCAGGCAGGTTTGGAACATCTCCAGAGAAGGAGACTCCACAACCTCTCTGGGCAGCCTGTTCCAGTGTTCTGTTACCCTTACTGGGAAGAAGTTCTTCCTCATGTTTAAGCGGAACCTCCTATGTTCCAGCTTATATCCATTTCCCCTTGTCCCATCATTGGGTGCCACTGAGAAGAGCCTGGCTCCATCCTCATGACAGTCACCCTTCACATATTTGTAAACATTAATGAGGTCCCCCCTCAGTCTCCTCTTCTCCAAGCTAAAGAGACCCAGCTCCCTCAGCCTTTCCTCAGAAGGGAGATGCTCCACTCCCTTCATCATCTTTGTGGCCCTGCGCTGGACTCTCTCCAGCAGTTCCTTGTCCTTCTCGAACTGAGGGGCCCAGAACTGGACACAATATTCCAGATGCAGCCTCACCAGGGCAATGCTATTTCCACTTAAACCTATTCAGCAAGATGAAAAGTCCTAATGCCGTTAGGAAGCATTTCTTTACACAGAGGGTGGTCAAACACTGGAACAGGCTTACTAGAGAGGTGGTCGATGCCCCGAGCCCGTCGGCATTTCAGAGGTGTTTGGACAATGCCCTTAGTAACATGCTTCAACTTGTGGTCAGGCAGTTGGACTCGATGATCGCTGTAGGACCCTTCCAACTGAAATATTTATTCCATTCCACATTGATTTAGAGATCTGTGTTCAAGCTTACCTTACAAAGGAAAGCCATCACCAGATCAGGATGCCGGCTGGCACACTTCTGCTCGTCACCTGTCAAGCAAAGCAAAGCCACTCAGACTCACCACTATCACTTTTCTTGAAGCCAAAACGTGCCAATGTTTGAGAAAGCATTAACAGGAACGACGTCGTCCAGCCGACTCAGAGCCCAGTCACAAAGTGTTACAAGCACATGAGGCCAGACAGCCCACAGTTTCAGCGCCAAGAAACCAAAATAAAGTTCCAGACTGAAAAATAATCAACCTCAACATTCAATCTTAATTAAATTACAAAGGCTGGAGCACCCACTCCAGCCAGGAGCAAACTGCTATGGGGACTATCCACATCCTGGATAGGAATAACATCCAATTTGTAGGCCTTATTAGTTCTGTACCAACTTTTACAGTACCAGAACTCATTCTGCTCCGTGGAATCTCTCAGCTGAGCTTCTCTACTACCCTCACTTCCAGAGAGCAAACAGCTCACAGGACAAATGCATGTCCTTAATTCAGCTTTATTTCATTTAAGTCAAAATTCCATTTCTTTCACCTGTTTTCTTTGGGCTTCCTTTTTTCTCTCCCTCCTCCAGGCTTTGCTGTGCAGCTCCTGGAGATCCAGGCCCTGTGTCCCCTTTAGGGCTACTTCCACCTTGGCTTGATGCTCCAGGACTATGAGGCAATGGACTTCCAACAGGCAGTGGTTTTCCTGTCCCAAATCCAATAAAATCAGACAAAGATCACTCAGTCAAAGAGTACAGATAAGAAAAGCACGAGTAGCATTCCCTCTTCCATGAGTCATGTTTAAACTGCACCAGCACACAGAGCTCTTCCCCAAGTCTGACTTGCACCTGCACACTCTAGCCAGTAATTTCAGAAGCCATCACTCATCCAAACCCTTCAGATTCTCTTGAAACTGCTGACTCTGTCAAAGCGATGCCCGTACTCTAAGTACCGCAGTTCCCAGCTGGCCAAGAAAGATGAATCCAGTGATGGATTATTTTATACACACACCCCTAAGGGAACAAACCAATGCCCTTGGCTCAGCACATTTTGTTTCTTTGAAGAGATTCTTCTCCTGAGAAAAACATGCAAATTAACAACCTCTCCTTACTCAGGCTTGCAAACAGAAGCTGCTCCTTTAACCACCCGGAGCACGATTAGTGAACAAGTGCTTCTCCCTTCCGACCGCCTGCTCACCTGTAAGAGGTACTTGGTGAACTGTCATCGTCTCGTCCTTATACTCGGGCTCTGTGTGCAACTGCACAGCTGAAAAGAGATCAGACACCGACATTAACACGTTCACCAGGGGAGATTCATGTTCGACGGGAAGTTAAAATCGGTAAAACGTCTTTTTCCTTTCTGAAACAAAACTTGCTGAATGTCCCCCTTGCCTTCCTCTGCCCGACTGCAATGATCAACGAGTAATTAAGCTCTCGAAAGCCCACTGTTCCCAAAAAATAGTCCATGACATCACAGAAAGCAAGTTCACTGGCAGCCTCTGGAAGCAAATTGCCCTCACAGTGCTTCGAAACAGAGTGGCATCTACTGGTCAAGACAGACTGGCAGCTGCGTGCCAGAAACAGAGCTGGAAACACTGTATTTCTTCCAGGCAGTTCTTGGGACGGCTTTTACCATTGTATCAGAGCAAAACAAATGCTTAAAGCTTTCTTTGAGGGGCTCTAAACCAGAGGCATTTATTCTCAAGTTGTCACTATTCCACGCAACTTTGTCTACAGCTGAAACATAAAAGAAGTTATAAGTTCCTATCAGCTGCACACACTGACCCACCTACCTAAATCCATCCTTTTCAGGGGTCCGGGGAAGAGTCGGATCGCTTTCAGGTAGTTTTGCTGCAAAAGAGAGAGTGTATGAGTGGTCAGGCCCAAGCAGTGCAACCACAGGCACCGCCTTCAGGAGTTAGTTCCAGGGAAGTCAAAGGCTCAGTGCCCAGCCAGACAAAAACTGGGCACAACACAGCTCGTCAGAAAGCACTGGGCAGACGTCCCACCTCCAGCGGGCACTACTCATTTAGAAAGAGAAAGTAAAATAAAGAACCATTCTGTCCATGCCTTCCATCAACACAATCAGTCAGCAGATATTGCAAGGAAATAAAGCAAGGCTGAGGATTGGAAGTTTTCAGCCTAGACATGGCATTAGGCTGGCAAGGATCACGTTAAGAAAAGGATCAGGGACCAAGTTTCTATCAAAAGAAAACGAGGAGGGAGCAGCCAGGAGAACAAAGACCGCCCTTTTCCCACAGCATGACTGAGCAGAATATTGGCTGACAAGAGCAGAAGTCTGAAGCTGTCTTGTGTGTAACTGAAGAGATTTGCTTTCTAAAGCCAGTCCTTCCGGCAGAACCTTCGGGCTGGCACTAACTCAGACCAGCATTTTCCACCTGTATGATGAGTCACCCCTTTGATCCGAGCTTCCCCAATTCCAAGGGAAGTTTTAACACTTGGAAGGTTCGCTAGCCTTTCTGCAAGCTTCCCCCACTTACCAGCTTTGGTGGCCCCAGGAAAACACATCTTTGAAGCCCTACAGCTTTCAATGTGAGAATCATACCTAAAAGAAAGCAGAGAAACAGCTTTGTCACAGCCCCACTAATGGCTGGGGAATCATGCAAGATCCAGGAGTGCTTTCCATGAAGGCCAGCACTGAACTTGGATCCAAACTGGATTTTGCCTCAGCTCTAAGGCAGTTTCAACAAATCACTCATCTCCACCATGAAAAATAAAATAATCTACGATTTGGAACGAGTTACCTGAACAGATTGTTAATCTCCTCCTTTCTTGAAAGTTTCCAGAATTTTAACGGAAGAGATCCCAAGTGGTATGTTCTAATCTCACCCCACTTTGAGGAGGGGGAGGGGGGTCCCTTTGAGCTCGGATTAGTCTGACCCACCAGCAGCTCCCCGCTGGCAACACACCCCCGGCAAGGCCTTCTGCTCCAGCAGGTTCCAGGAGGACAAAGCCCCGCACACCGGGGAGGCAGCACCTCTTCCACCGCAGAGCCCCCCCGAGCCCCCCATCACCAGACCCGCGC